AAGAACAACAGCCGGACCAGCAGGAGCAACAGGAGGAGCGGGAGGAGGAGCGAGAAAAATGCTGCCGGTGCCATGACCTCCAGTAGAACCATCACCAGAAACGCCTGCACCGCCTCCACCATCAGAAGAAACGTCACCGGTGCCTTGATCTCCAGTAGGAGTTCCACTGCTTCCTCCAGAACCAGAACTGACTCCAGCGTCGGAACCACCATCAGGAGAAGAAGCAGCGTTGGAAGTCCTACTCGAATGCGAATTGTTCGTTGTTGCAACAGTATTATCTGTTCCAGCCGAGGCTTCGACGGCAGTAATGGGCAGTACTGACCGCAAAGGAGCCGTAATCGCAGTTTTATTGCATCCGTCAGGCATGTGGGATCCATTCTCACCCAACACTCCCGACGCCATGCAGCCACCCAGTGCGTTGGTGTCAACGTCCCTCGCATAAACACCGCCGGCAACGCACCACAGCACGCAGAGGGCACACACCAGCAGCACACGGCCAGCCATCGTCATCGCCATCACTCCTGTCACTTGCGTGCAGCCTTCAGCACAAAATAACTCCCCGTCAACGCAGAGTGAAAGCAACAAAAGACACGGCACAGTAAAATACACCAGCAGCAGCAGCAGCACGCATTTCATGAGAAATATTAAACCAATGAAAGTGAAAAAAGACACAATGCGCTGCAAGTAAAGAAAAGCACAGAAAACAAGGAAAAACAAAAGTAAACAGGCAGCAATAAAGTAAAACAGTAAAAACACACAAAAAGGAGCTGCACAGTATGGCTCCAGCGCGCACGCCTCTATCCTCAACAGTGTGTCCACGCAAACAGTTGTGTGCTTGTCGTGCGTATGCGTATGTTTCGGATGTATGTTCAACGTGACGGATGTGGCACAGCACGGAGCACACAGCAGGGCAGCGGAAGCAAAAAAAGCAAAAAAAACAATCATCATAATTGCTCTTACTTTATACATCGGACCACTGTGGACGCACACATTTCCCCGTGGCTGAGTGCTGGCACGCATGGTCCACTTTCCATTTCAGCCCACAGCGGTGTACGCCAGCGCGGATACGGCAAGCACCAGCGGGGGACACACCCACGCAGAGCTGCTGAGGCTGCCGTCAATTTCGCGAATATGTGACGGTGCGCGGGTGGTCGTCGTGGTTGGCGCCTCTGCATTCGTAGTAGTTGTTGCCTGTGGCGCAGTGGTCGTCGTTGTAGTTGGGGCATTTGTCGTGGTTGTAGTGGTAGTCGTATTTGCAGCAGTGGTCTCGTTCTCTGATACCTTCCTTACAGCAGTCAAACTTGTTGACTGCTGCGCATCGGATGTATCTGTTACTTCTGGATTAAGGGGTTTCTCTTTTCCTTCTTTTGCCGTCTCAGTGACTCCATCAAGTGCCTGCTCCTGAACATCCTTCGGACTTTCTGACTTCAGCGTGTCAATTATCGGAACTAGTAGTTCTGAGTTACTGGAAGGCGTCCCATTATCATTCTGTCCCGCACCGGACGCTGCTTTTCCTGTCCGTAATGCATCAACATCCGTATCTGAATTATGTTCCCCACCGAGCTTATTTAGCACTTCTGAAACAATAACCTGTACATTAACTTCTTCTCCAGTTTTAACCTCGCCTGCTGTCGCTCGCGCCGAAGGGCAGCAGCACAGCGCAAGCACCAACAGGGCGCACAGCAGACGGCACGTCATCATCGTGAGTGTAGTCGTTCAGTGGTGTGGAGCTGATATGCACAGTGAGGGACATGGAGAGCAACAGGGGAGACGAGAGGTGCGGCAGACACACACAGAGGGCACACCACATGAGGAGAGGGCAGCAGCCAGGCATGCACCATACGCCGCACACCACGCACGACACACACTCCAATCCACGGCAGCAGGCACACACACACACAGCCCTGCCGCAACACCAACACACAGATGGAGGAGGGAGAAGCAAACAGGAGCGGCACACAAGGCTCCACCGCATGCACATACGGCGAGAGCGGTCCGTCGCGTCGGCACCCCTCACGGAGGGTACGCACACACACAAGAGGAGGCGCAACGCACACAGCAACGCAAAAGCAAAGTAACAGTAAAAAGGGAATGATCCCTGCACACCACGTGGATTGTTGGTCCACGGGAAGTGCAGCCAACAATTCGGTTTGTGTTCTTCCTGCCTTTCGCTGGTAAAGTGCTGCAATAGATGTTTTTATTTCCTCCTTCGTTACTTTGGCACCTGATTCCTCACCGTTTATTGCGGTGGAAATGAAAATATGTGAGTGGACTCCCACACACCAGAACGCACCTTCGCTCCTATTTATTGCTGCACAGAAGGGCATGTGTGTTTGGTGGTGCCTCGACCACATATTCCTCTGGGTGCACATTCCCCTGCAGGCTGAGGGCGGGGCGACGCTCTGTCGCGGTGCACTTCCCTCGCATGCCGCCCACTGTGATTCATCATGCATCACCCTCTCACATATTCCGTGGTGCCACACCGCTGATATTACTGCAGCCGCTGTGATTCCGCATATTTCACGCATTTGATTGTGCCACAATACATCCGCTCGTGTGGCCGCCGCATCCAAACAGCTGTGCCCAACACCGTGAGCGGCAGTCCACATCCTTGCATGTCCCAACGCAGTGGTGCTTGACTGTCAGCCAGGCGACACACAACACGAGAGTCTTGTGCTGGCAGTACAGCACACGGAGCTGCAGTGAATGACTCGGGCAGCGACGCATCTGTTTGTCGCAATGCAGTGAAAGGGAGTCGGGCAAAATAATACCGGCTGCATTCACGACACCATACCCACAGCCAAAGCATGCGACGTGATGTGTGTTTCGCTGGTGCTGTGAAATGCCTGCAGACGACGTCACTAGTGGAGGCATGCCACCCATGATCAGCGGACAGACAATAATCGGCATGGGAGACCACAAAAGGCAGCAACGACGCCAGCAGCAGGAGCAGCTCTCTCTCTCTCTGTTGCCTTCGAGAAGAAAATATTCCACCAGCCACAGCTGACTGTGCCATCGTGACGCTCCATGCACGTCGTGGCTGCGCCAACACATCCTGCTCCCTGCAGCGCCTCAAAAGACGCCTCACTCCGTCCAATAAGTGCATCGGTGTGGGCCGTGCCTCGGCTGTTCGTGAGGACCACAGCGATGTGAGTGTCACCGAGTCGCAGCATGTTTGTTGTGACGTTGTTGCATGGCACCTGCACACACACGCAGCGCCTGCATCCCTCCCTTTTGTGTCCACCCTCCGCCGGAGTGGTCACACACACGGGCAGCAGCAAAATCACTTCACCCTCGATGACACAAAATCAACACCGACATCCCTCGCCACGCAAAGATCTCAGCTGCCAGCACGGCCCTCCTGCCGCTCTGCCATCGACGCTGAAACACGGCACAGTGCACGCACTCATTTCCCTCGTGCGCAGTCAGCCGTTTGCTTCACACATTCTTCGATGGGCTGACGTCCATAAATGCACGCCACAAATGCCACCGTGATCGCACAATCTCTTGCGATGAGCGTCGGTGTGTGCATGGATCCGCTGCTCACGCGTGCTGGCAGGCAGCCTGCAGCCGGTGCCCTCGTGCCAGTCCATCGGCTCCAGCATGGGAAAGAGAAAACGGCCTATTCCCGATGCACTTATTCCCACCAGCAGCACCAACACACTGGTCGCCAGCCGTCATTCCTCAGCACATCCAGGAATGCTGAAAAGTGACGTGGAACTGCCAGCCAGCAACGCCACAATCCCCGCACACATGTCGGCTCCACCAGAGAAGACACACAAATTACAAGCGACACCCCTCACATGTCATCCGAACATCATTCCGACACACCGCGACACGCCAAACAGAAGTATTCGTCACTCCATGCACCTCCTCACGCAATCAAATAGTCCACGCACCACGCACGGCAGCAGCCCACACGCGGTCAAAAAAATGTTCTTCACATCAGTGTTGTCCACGTGCTGCGGTGGGAAGTAAACAAAAGAGACGAGCCGCCAAACCCCAAAAGAGTGCCACGACTGGCCGCAAGTCAACGGAACGCAGCCACTCAAATGAATTCAGTCCTAATGCCCTCAGCCTCCCACCTTCTCCAACTAAAGCCCCAAGAGACGCAAATCAAACACCCCGTCAAATAAAGTCGCTGTGCAACACCAAGTGAAGCCGCAGTGCCTCCCGCTGTCATCCGGGACCGTTGTGGACGCCTTCACGGGGACAGACACCCACCGGATATTACGAACGGCGCTGTACGCCTGCGACGCATCATACGGTTTGGGAGGCACGTGCCTCACTATCACCAGAGACGCCCACGCGCCGTCGGACGCCCCACACAACCAATGACGCAAGTATACTTCAGAGTGACAACGAGACGTCCGCTAGCAATCACACCGCAGGCATCATCGCAAGCGGCACAAGCAGCGCTGCAGTCAACTGTGGGGTGCCATGGACCAACTGACGCATGACGTATGTAGAAGAAAGAGCGTGGCGGCTTTAGAAGGATACGAGTAGCTAACACTTCCTTAACAGGATGAAAACAGTATGGAAACAATAAGAAAAATTCAGGCGTCCACAGTCAAAGCAAGCCGCCGATCAAAAAAGCGGAATGGATGCACTCAACCACACCACAAATAAAACAATACGAAAAACAAAAACAAGAAGGAAAAAGCGTGGGACGACCAGCGCACACACTCTCTCATTGCTCCCGTAAAGCAAAACACACACACACAGGGAGAGAGAGAGAGGTCGCCCACTCAATGCAATGAAAACAAAACAGAAACAGTTACGGTGCTCCGCCCATGCATCCAGGCAGGACGGCAGCGGTGCGTGTCGTGCAAAAGAGAGCACCAACGGGCCTGCATGGGTGTGCATGCATATATACAATGGGCACATTATTGTGTGTGCCTCTTGGGGTGAGGTGAAGGCGAGAGTCCATGCAAGGGGACACACACACAAAGAGAAGGACGAGTGTGTGCGGGCGGTGCACGGCTCTCTCACACTCACTCTCACGCGGCCACCACCGCAGCAGCAGCCGCACACGCAACAACAACAAGAAGAAGCAAAAGAGGGGAGGTGGTGTGGGAGACCGCGGTGCTGCTGTCACTGTCGCCTGTATTTGCGGTGGCATTTGTACGAAGGGCGTTTTTATCTTTCGCGGATTCTTCGCCGTTTTCCGCGGGGTGTTCATGCTGTTGATGTTGTTGGACTTGTGTTTCATCACTTTGCTGCTGCTTTTCATTTTCTTCTTCCTCTTCTTCTTCCTCTTCTTGTCGTGTGTGTCCAGTGCCGGATGTCGTTCCTACCTGTCCTTCGGGTAGCGAGGTGTCGTTAGCCTCTGCTGCAGCATACGACTGATCTTCTGTTGAAGAGTCCCCTGTTGTGTTAGATGGATTACTGCCTGAGGACCCCGCTGTACCACCACTGCTGCCAGCTGAAGAATCAACACCAGGAGCAGCAGGAACAGCAGGAGAACCGGCAGGAGGAATGCCACCGGTGCCATGACCTCCAGTAGAAGTTCCACTGCCGCCAGGAGCACCACCACCAGGAGAACCACCAGGAGCAGCAGCAGCAGGAGGAGCAGGAACACCAGGAGAGCCACCAGCAGTAGAAGCACCAGCGTTGGAAGTCCTACTCGAATGCGAATTGTTCGGTGTTGCAACTGTAGTATCTCTTCCATTCGAGGCTTCAACGGCAGTAATGGGCAGTACTGACCGCAAGGGCACCGTAATCGCAGTTTTATTGCATCCGTCAGGCATGTGGGATCCATTCTCACCCAACACTCCCGACGCCATGCAGCCACCCAGTGCGTTGGTGTCAACGTCCCTCGCATAAACACCGCCGGCAACGCACCACAGCACGCAGAGGGCACACACCAGCAGCACACGGCCAGCCATCATCATCGCCATCACTCCTGTCACTTGCGTGTAGCCTTCAGCACAAACTAACTCCCCGTCAACGCAGAGTGAAAGCAACAAAAGACACGGCACAGTAAAATACACCAGCAGCAGCAGCAGCACGCATTTCATGAGAAATATTAAACCAATGAAAGTGAAAAAAGACACAATGCGCTGCAAGTAAAGAAAAGCACAGAAAACAAGGAAAAACAAAAGTAAACAGGCAGCAATAAAGTAAAACAGTAAAAACACACAAAAAGGAGCTGCACAGTATGGCTCCAGCGCGCACGCCTCTATTCTCAACAGTGTGTCCACGCAAACAGTTGTGTGCTTGTCGTGCGTATGCGTATGTTTGGGATGCGTTCAACGTGACGGATGTGGCGCACAGCACGGAGCACACAGCAGGGCAGCGGAAGCAAAGGAAGCAAAAAACACAATCATCATAATTGCTCTTACTTTATACATCGGACCACAGTGGACGCACACATGTCACCGCCTATGAGTGCTGGCACGCACAGCCCGCATGCACCTCTTCAGCCCACAGCGGTGTACGCCAGCGCGGATACGGCAAGCAGCAGCGAGGCACACACCCACGCAGAGCTGCTGAGGCTGCCGTCAATTTCGCGAAGACGTGACGGTGCGCGGGTGGTCGTCGTGGTTGGCGCCTCTGTATTCATCGCCGTATTACTTGGTGCCCCTGGCGCGGTGGTTGTTGTAGTAGTCGTACTTGCAGTTGGTGCGTTTGTCGTAGTCGTCGTTTTTTGCACTGTGGAATCAGCTTTTGAAATCGTTGCGGATAAATCCGCAGCACTTGTTTTCTCTGATTGAACAGACGCAACTGATACATCTTGACTGTTGGCATTCTCATTGGCTTTCGGAACCGTTTTTTCTCCTACTTTGTTATTGTCTTGATCCGTTGGTGTAACGACCCCTGGACCTGGGCCCTCGTTTTTACCTTCTGCCTACCGTCCGTCCCACTTATTCCCGGTTGTGGATCGGAATTCTGAACGGATTGAGCTGGTTTATCGCTACCCTCTGTCGCACACACGAACGGGCAGCAGCACAGGGCGAGCACCAACAGGGCGCACAGCAGACGGCACGTCGTCATCATCGTGAGGGTGGTCGTTCAGTGGTGTGGAGCTGATCTGCACAGTGAGGGACATGGAGAGCAGCAGGGGAGACGAGAGGTGCGGCAGACACACACAGAGGGCACACCACATGAGGAGAGGGCAGCAGCCAGGCATGCACCGTACGCCGCACACCACGCACGACACACACTCCAATCCACGGCAGCAGGCACACACACACACAGCCCTGCCGCAACACCAACACACAGATGGAGGAGGGAGAACCAAACAGGAGCGGCACACAAGGCTCCACCGCATGTACACAGGGCGAGAGCGGTCCGTCGCGTCGGCACCCCTCACGGAGGGTACGCACACACACAAGAGGAGGTGCAGCGCACACAGCAACGCAAAAGCAAAGTAACAATAAAAAGGGGAGATCCCCGCACGCCACGTGATTGTTGGTCCACGGGAAGCACAGCCAATATTCCTTTTTTTTTTTCTACTCTTACCAGCGCGTCTAGCTATACAGTGCCATCTGAGTGCCGAAGAGGTGGTCGAGCAACGACAAAAGTTTCCTGCTATGAAGCAACTGCCATTGAGAGAACTTTCCGAGGCGAAGGTCCTGTTCAATGCCCAGCCGTTGACGCACAGCCAAGGTGCCTGGACATTCTAGAAGCAGATGGTGCAAGGTTTCCTGCGGGCCAATTGGCGTGCTAGTGGAAGCTGGCTGATCCTGCGGCAGCAGAGATCGCCGCCTGGCACTGCTGTTTCGATGCCGTGTGGCGTCTGGGTTGTGTGCGCAGCGACTTCTGTGCTGTGCGGTGCTTCTCCGTGTGGGGAAAACCATGTCACAGAAATCACATTTGAGCTCGGGAAGCGGTGGAGGATGTTCCGGATGAAATGACCGACAGTGACTGACGAGACCCGAGAATCCCGTCAATTTAGAATCACAGTGCGGACATTTCTCCTTCCGACGGCGTGTGAGGGTCCGTCTGCTTACTGGAGAGACGTCTTCCTCCCTCGCCGACGGGGGAACAGTGTCCGTCCCCGGTGCAGTTGGATCGTTGTTAGAGCGCATATATGCAGACTGTTCCGGTGAGATGTTGCAGAATCGGCATTGGTTCGTGCAATCTCTCACGGCCCAGTATAGTCGGCCCCAGAGCTCAGATTCCCCGCACCTTGCCCTTGCGAGGTGAACCAGTTCCTGACGGTGTAGAACTTCCTGAGTGATCAGGTCCTTACCGCTGAGATCTGATGGCCTTGTGCCGCAAAGCAAGTAGCGGTGAGTGTCTTGACGAATGGTACTACGCCACTTGTTGGTGAACTGGGTAGTAAAACATGTCAGCAGATCCGTATGCCACAAAGGTGCGATTCCTTGCTCCGTGTATTGTCCACTTTCCATAGTCTGCGTCGCATACTGATCTGCAAGCTCGTTAGCATGTACTCCGCAATGTCCGTAACAAAACTGCAGGTGCACGGACCAGCCAGCACACGTCAGTGTTAAGAGACGCTGCCAGATCTGATCCTCCGTCCAGTCTGTCTGACTGAGCGGGCCCTTGTTTAGAGCCGCTAGAAGAGACTGACTGTCCGTAACCACAAGCAGGGTTTTACGCCTGTGGCGGATACGGGGAATCACCAGCTTCTCTAGGGCTAGAAGCAGCGCACGGGATTCCGTCCTGTAGCTGCATGGGCGTGCACCGCAGTTTATGCTGGCCTTTTCTATTATCTCCGATGAATCTAGAGATGAAAGCAGTATTCCAACCCCGGCTGACTTGGGAACGTCGACACCGCCATCGGTCGCAAGTATCCACGAACGATGGCTGTGCAGCGCTAAAGCCTCTTCGCTGACTCTGCGCTTTTCCCTTATCAGCTCTTCTTCGTCAGTTATTGAGTGGTCTATCGGAAGTTCCACACCGATGGTGACCCGGTGAGCGGAGGCCGCAAACCAGGGAGGAATGGAGCTGCGAAAGAACCGCTCTTCGCGTGGTGAGCTCTCGGTGATGCCATAGTCCTTTGTGTATGCGTCTACGAAGAAATATAGTTCGTCCCGAGATAATGGCGAGATGCGGAAACCGGCGCGAGGCGGTAGCTCAGGCGGGGGTCTCCGCATCCAGTCCATCTGACATGCGCGTGTGTTCTCAAATATTGAGAGCCGCGCGCGCAGGCAAAGGACGTGAAGCGGCGGCATATTAGCCTCCAGCAGTGCGGATTCCGGGTCAACAGTGCTCGGAACTCCGCTGACAATGCGTGCTAGAGTTGCGTACGTCTTCTGCATCTCATTCTTCGCTGAATCCGTCGCTACTGCCCATATGAGCTCGCTGCCATAGCGTAATTTGGAAGCACCGTATCCAATGACGAACGTGCGTAGGTCATGTGGAGATGGTCCCGCCTCTTTGTGCGCCATGCAGCGTAGCTGCGATATCCGTTGCGAAGTGGCAGCGCATTGCTTGGAGGCCGCCACATTTAGCGTCAGTCGTGGATCGAGATCCATGCCGAGAAGCTTCGTAGTTCGCGATGCCCCCATGGTCATGACTGGGATTTGGCATCCAGCCACTACCAGGGGCCACCTTCCTTCACGATCATAATCTGACTCCGTGTGCGTGGATAGTGTGAACCAAGCAGCTTCACACTTTGACGCGTTGATGGCCAGGCCATTTTCCTGACTCCACGCATGCAGTTTTTGAAGAACCATGTTGGCAGTGGGAATGGCGTCTTCCCGGGACTGCCCCTTAACGATAATAGAGAGGTCGTCCGCATACATGTCTGCTGTGACACCCGCAAAGCTGTTCAGCAGATTGAGAAGTGGGTGTACGTAAAGGGAGAACAAATATGGTCCCAGCACGGACCCCTGAGGAACTCCTCGCAGCATGGGATGCCGATCGCTGTGTCTGTGGCCAACTCGTGTCTTCGCGTAGCGACCACATAGAAAGTTTCTAAGCCACCTTCTACAATTCACCCCCGGAATATTAGCCAGCAAGCGACTGAGGACTCGATGATCTATGGAGTCAAAGGCCTTGCTGAAATCAACCAGCACCAGCAGAGTCCGATGGGGTCCGTAGTGGAGTTGATTGCCAATACCGCTCTTCTTGGGAAGGCTCACTTGGAAATAGTGATTTCTATTATGCTCCACTTCGTGTGTCAGGTGTGCCAGCTGCATCGTCGTAGTACGCATACTACGATATGCATACTGGTGGGGGTGCGGCGTCCACACCCAAAGCAATCTCTTCAGTACCATTTTCTCAGCAACCTTACTCACAATGGAGGTAAGGCTGATTGGTCGATATGACTCAAGCAGTTCCGGCGACTTACCGGGTTTTAAGAGTGGAACGATGGTAGCGCGTCTCCACTCAGCCGGAATCGTACCGGTCGTCCAACTGTGGTTAATGCAACGAAGAAGGAATCGGAGGCCCTTTGACGAAATATGTCGCAGTGCCTCACTGTAGACTTCATCCGGTCCGGGGGCCTTGCCATACGGCGTATTACGTAGCGCAGCAAGCAGTTCCGTACGATTAAAAGGTGCATCAAGAGGGGAGTGAAGATGAGCAACTAAACCAGATGTGGTGGCAGCTTCGTTTTTATCCTGTGGGTCAGAACTAGATGAGAGTGAAAAACCTGAAGTAGATGTAGCGGCAGACTCGTTGTTGTTCTGCGGCTCAGAAATACAAGAGATAAGAGAGGTGGAAGAAACTAAGCTAGAAGTAGCGGCAGACTCGCTGTTGTTCTGCTGCCCAAAAGAAGAGAAGCATTAATGTTCAAAGATGCACTCTGTCTGTTGATGCCTTTGGAAAACCTAACTGCCTTGTGAGAGGGGTGAAATGGAAGAAAGATGCGATTGAGAGCATTCGCTGCTCTCCTTGCTGTTTTATAAGTGTGTTGACCACCTCCTAATAAAATTGATGTGGGAGATGGAAGTGATGCCTTTTTTCGTCCGGAAATGTATTTCCATGCGAGTGGCTCGCCTGGATTTAACTTGCTGATGCGGCGTAGATACGTGTTGCGCAAGCGCTCTCGGAGTAGGAGGAAGAATTGACTCCTTGTCCGTTGCATTTCTGCCTCACGGTCGGGCGTCGGCGACTGTAGATAGCGGGCCTTGCTGTCCGTGGCAATCCGCTCTGCTTCCATGAGGGTGTCGTCCCAAAGCCTGGGACCGTCCTTGTGCATGCCGCGGGGGCAATGTCGTCGATACGAAGTTATAAGCGCTCTCGTGAAAGCCTTAATGCCGGTGGACTGCTTTTTATAGTCGTATGCCGGAAGTTGTGCGTCGAAGTCCTTGACGAATAAATCCCACTTGCACTTCCCCCAACTGGAGAAAAACTTAGGTGCTGAAGGTATGGTATCCTTAAATGCCTGATGCAGCGTAAATGTCAGCATATAATGGTCACTAAGCGGCGACACGGAAGCTGACCAATCCGACACAGTCAAATGCTTTGACCATGTCAGATCGATACAGGATCGTTCTCTTGTGCCACGGGCATACGTGATCTCACCAGGGGTGTTAACCAACGTGAGTCCCGCATCCGTGCACAGTTCTAAAAATTCTGCAGCAACCTCGCTTGGAGAAGTCTCCAAGAATGGCTCCCACTGTGGGTGATGCATGTTGAAATCCCCGCACAGCAGGAGCGACGACGAGGCTGGAAGGCAGTTTACTAACCGCCTGAAGGATTGCGTTACTTGCGGTGGTGGTCTCATATAGGCACTCGCCACAATAAGATCACGGTTCTGGTCCAGAGCAACCTGGACCACCACCACCTCATGGCTGGTGTCATGCTGGGGGGTGGTGAGGGGTATACGCTTGGAGCGGAGAGTTTTCCGCACCAGCACCGCCACACCGCCTCCCTTGCCGATGCGCGACTGTGCATAGAGCACATAATCTCCAGTGTGCATGCTGGCGATCTGCTCTGACGACTTCCAAGTCTCCTGAATGGCTATTATGTCTGCTCCTTGCGCCATTAATGTTGCGAGTTTTGACGGCGTGAGGCAAGAAACGTTCATCTGGAGTACTGCTATGGGGCCTGGGTTCTGCTCAATGTCTCCGCTTAGCAGTAGCTTTTGTCGTTGCGCGTCACATACGGCACGCAAACGGTATGTATAGCGCTGATAAGCGCCGATGGAATTCAGCAGCGGATAGAAATACCGCTCCGCGGGCAGCCATGTAAATGGCTCCATCCGGTGCCCTTCCGACCCGTTTGTGCGGCGCCTCCTGCCTCTCCGCGGGCAGCGGATGGGCAGCAGGCGCTTAGCTTCCTCTCTAGCAAAGAGTACTAGACCCTGGCACCACGTTGAGGTGGCCGGCTGAGCCAGGGGCCAATATTCATCACAAAGCAGCTTGTTATCTTGTTTTAGTTGTATGCTGCTACAGCAACGAGTGAGCAGCGCAAGGGCCGTCCGTACAAAAATGGCAAGTATTCCGTCGCAAACGGGCCGTCGTGCGGGCTGAGGCAGTCACAAACAGTCGCGGTCCCAATTCGCAACGACGGGGCATTCCCGCAGTGGATGGTGCGGAGTTTCCCGTTGTCCGTGGGGATGGGGATCGGCAACTCACGGCGTCTGTGATGCGGCGGCGGCGGAAGAGCCTGTTCCATATTGAGTTCCCGCGGTTGTGCTTCCTGCATGTTTGGTCTGCTGGCATGCTTGGCAATTTCGGTGGAGACCTGTGCGCGAGGCGCCTGTTAGGAGGACGGTGGCGCCATTGCGGCGCCCGCATGCGAGGCGTTCTTCGACCATTAGAACGCCAGGACGAGCACGTCCGGCAAACGCCCTCATATTGTGGACGAACGAGCGCACACTGCCGCAGATTGGGCAGGAGAACGTCAATCCGCCGCTCGCTGGTCAACAAAGATTTGCGGTTCTCAAGCGAGGTGGGGGCTCCGGAGGCAGAGGTGGGCCGATCTCCTCGGTGTGGGAGGGAAGGCGCTACCGACGTAAGGGTCGCCCGTAATCTGCAGGGCGTGCGCCATTCTACCGAAGAGCGGGCAGGAGTCGCATCGCAGTTGTGCGCGGAGCTGCGGGTCGTGGCGCAACATTTGGCCGGACACAAGTAATGGAGTTTTCGCTATACCGACGAGCGCCAGTAGTGTGGTGTGCGCGCCTTCCTCTTCCTCCTGGACTTCCTTCCAGCATAACCTCTTGACTGCGGCAAGGAAGCCCACGTGTCAGATTGGTACACCCCATTGCGGGGAGGGAACTTGCAACCGCGGCTTCTTTCTCAGCAGCCTCATTGCATGACGCACCGCAGTGCGATGGGGAGAACACACATTCTACAGAGTGGCCTCGCTTCACCAAGAAAAGTAGCATAATCCAAATTCCTTCGGTAACGCAGTCTCGCACGGCCAGTGGGGCAACGCGGAGTGCCTCAATTGCCGACAGGGTGTTTGTAGCAACCAGGGCTCGTGTGGGCGATTGGGATGCTGCCAGGCGGGGAACTGGGAACTGTCCGAGGCCATGCTCGGAGGCAGGACACTCCGCTCGGCAGGAGCATGCAGGGCTGCCAGCTGCTGCGCGGTGAGGCCCCACAGGGAGCGCGGCTGTCCAGGGAGTCAAGTGGCAGCGCGGCGGATCCAAAGGCATTCTCAGCGAGAGACAACGAGCCGCCCACCGCCAACACAGGTGCCAGCGAATAACAAGACGTTGAGCACTAATAGGACACGTATGGCCGCACTGCCGTGGGCACAGATATCGGCCCCGATTCACTCAGCAACAGTGATCTAGCGCCCTTGGATGGTACAATATCCACTCCTGAGCCCAGCACAGCCCTAGCAAATGCTGAAAGAGTGATAAAGTGTCGGGTGGCGGTGATGCCGCACAGGATTATTTGCGCACAACGTCTGAGAAACCAGAGATCCCATCGGAGCACGACGCAGCATCACTTGTGAGCAACGGTTTTTGTGAGCACGAGCACTTCACGGATTTATTGACCATGGCTGAAATTCGTGACATCGCCGTGCATGGGTGTGTGTCTCGGGTGATGTTGCTTCTGATTCTGGTGCTGCCAGGCACTGCGGCGCTCAGCTGAGGTGTGAGGGAGGGCGGAATTGAGGCTTTTCGTGGAGCAATAACTGTGCAGCTTGCCAGCATTATCCACTGAGTTTTTTCAATAATTTAAGTTTTTTATTCTCTTTTATTTATTTTTGCTGCTTTTGCCTTATTGGAATAATTAGCATCCCTGTGTTTTCCCCCAATGGTTGCTTGCCGCACACCGTCATGAGTGACGTGCTTCTCCCCCTTGTTTTCTTCCTTTGCGCACACGCTGTGCCGGCCCTGCGGCTGTGCGTCCCGCAGACTGCACAAGAGGAGGATTGGAGAAAAGGCCGGATGCCGCACGAAATGTGAGGAGAGTTGTGTGGGCTCACGGAATAGTACGATATTTTTTTTTTTTTGCTATATTCGGTCCATGCAGTACGTATACGCAAACCAGTGGGTCCTTTACATTTTGCTTTTTTGCAAACAAAATAAAAGACGTGCCTGATCGATTTTTCTTTTTTTGCTTTTGGGAGTTTCGCTGGACTCTCAAATCCGTTGTTGTGCTTTTTACTGCATTTTTAACTTCTGGTTTGCAAGGCGTTGTGTGAGTTCTGCAATTGTACTGATTCCAACTGCCTCGTGGTGTGTGACTCTCATTTCTGGGTGGGACGGTGCGTGGCTGTGTGACTTGTCTCTCTTTTTGCTTTTTGCGTTGACGGGGAGTTAGTTTGTGCTGAAGGCTGCAGGCAAGTGACAGGAGTGATGGCGATGATGATGGCTGGCCGTGTGCTGCTGGTGTGTGCCCTCTGCGTGCTGTGGTGCGTTGCCGGCGGTGGTTTTGGTGAGGAAGATACGCGGGATGAATTCTGCAATAACACGTACTTGGGGGTTTTGACTTTACTTGCGAATGAGACTGATAAGGAGCTTGCGGAGAAATACTGCAAAAACACGGA